CCTGGTCATGTCTTCACACTCGCTGCATTTCATCACAATGTAGTACGCAATTCTCCTAACCCTTTTCCCTGATAATACCCTTATCATGTAGCAACCGTCCGATCTGCTGAGATCTGGCACCCAAAACTTGTTCGGCTGGATGGTTTTGCTCTTGAAGCTGTTGGAGGTCTTTCTCTAGTTTTCCATCAGGGCATAACAGTGCTCCTTTTCTTCCTTGGAATCTCTCGCTTGCTTGGACATTTCATTTTCAAGGACATTGACCTTTTTCTTTATATTCACCATTCCCTTGTCATACTTCTCCTTTAGTTGTAGAACAAAACTGGCCCGCCCCTCTGCATTCTTAGCTCACTTGGCTCGGGCATTTGTGAGCTCCGCTTCGGTCTTTTGCAATTCATCCTCAAAATCACGCACTTTTTGGGTAAGGCTGTAGATGAGCTTTTCGTCTTTTCTGCTCCTGTCCGGGTTCTCAATTGCTATTCTCATTTTTCGAACTTGGGCTCGGAGAGCTTCATTCTCTTGGGCCAACTTTTTTCTTTCACCTTCGGCTTCTTGTGCTTGGAGATCATTGTTGAATTCCATATTTCTCAGCTTCTGTTTCAAGGCGTGAATCTTGGCTTGATATTTCTTCTCCTACTCCCCCCATGCCAACCTTTCTTTGATTTTATCATCAAAAGCTTGAACATGAGGTCTCTTGGCAGGCCTCTCGGCTTAGGCTCGGGCTTGGGCTCTCGCTCATTGTTTACACAAGACCTTTTCTCAAACCATGCAGCATAATTTGGATCCACTTCCCCCTTTGCAATATCTGGTACCTGGGTGCCATTTTTCAGATACCGGCAGCCGTTCCAGTTCTGCTGAACTAAAGCCTCGGGCAATGCAGCTTCTGGATGCAACTCTATCACCTGGGTGGTTAGATCCTCATCTTCGGGCACGATCTGATATCTTCCTAATTGCCTCAAAACCCTCTCCGGTGCATATGTCTAGATGCTCCTCGCACCCATTAACCTCAGATAACCCTTTGTAGCAGTCATGTATATGGCTTCTGTCATCGGGAGCCATCCTATAGGCCACTCAACTTGACTTGCTTTAAGAACTTTCAAGTGGGAGACCCATGCTTCAAACCCTTCTGGCACGTTGTAGTCCTTTATCCTTTCCTCGTAACTGGTAATGAAGTTATCCAGGCTCGAACCATAACTCATGAATCTGGGATGATGGCGAAGATGCTCTATCAGCCACATTTGTAGAAGGATATTGCAACCTTTAAAAAATTGAGCCCCAATTTTGCATAGTGTCAATGCTCGATAAATATCAGCCAGCACCAATGGGACAAGTGTATGATCTTCCTTGGTAGTGAGGATTTACGCAATTCTGCCCATGCGAGTATCCACCGTCCCTTCCTCATTTGGAAAAACCATGATCCCCAAAAATTCCACAATAAAAGCGAATCGGCGATGAATTTGCCAAAGGCGTTTATCTTGCTTGTAGCTCAAACCCTTTTTGTGCGTTTCGAACCCCGCCGAGTGCCTGAACCTGAAGTACAAGAAGTGGAAAGAACAACACCCTTTGCTTACATGGGCCTTCTTCATTTGTTTACTGATATTCATGAGGTCAAAGAACTTGTGCACCGAAGGAGCACTTGGAAATATAAGTTGTTGCTTCCTCAAATCCCAGCCAAACTCAATGTACCCGGCCATTTCCTCAAAAGTAGGGGTGATCTCAAAGTTTGAGAAACGAAAAACATTGTGGACAGGGTCCCAAAAAGTTACCAAAGCCTTGATCAAATCTTCCCGTGGTTTGATTTCCAAAATGTTTATAAAGGCACCCAACTACTTTTTCACCCACTTTTGACCATCTTCATCCAGATCATTCCACCACATACGTAACTGCTGAGCTTGTTTTCTAACCACTTCTGACGAGTTCTGGGTAGTGTTCATTTGTGACGGGTTCTGGATAGTATTCATTTGTGCCTGTGGAGGGTTAAGGTTAGGTTTGACTCCGGTGGACCTTTTGTAAAACAAGTTTTCCAATTTCTACAAGAAAAATCAATGGACCGTGATTCCTTCCCCTATATGCTAATTTTAGCAAAATAATTGTTTTGCAAACGTGGCCCCTTCCCAATTCCAAATGAATTTTGATGCCGGGGAGGACTACTTTATGAGAAAAATGACACTTCACAAACTTGTCCATTCTTTTACGAAAATAGTCGTTCGAAAACTGAAGATACTCTAAGGCTATCTTGGCAAGAACGATTTAAGACATTGCTGAAGTTGGATCGACTTATGTTGACCAAGACTCCAAACTACATTTATTTGATCATTAACTCTTTTTTCCTTTTTTTTTTTAAAAAATGAGGCCGAACCTTATGTAGGTTGCCTACGTATCTCACATCCGGTGAAAATCAGACCTGCGTAGTTCGGTCAGCTTTGACACATTTGAAATTGACACAGTGTTTGACTCTTTTGAAATAACTCTCTTCCTCTTTCCTTTTTTTTTTGAAAATTTTGGCGGAGTTTCGGGATATTTCCAAATACCGGGTTTTTCAGAACCGGGCTTTATTTCCTTCCCAACATCTCTCTTGGTTTTTTCTTTTTCTTTATTTCCCCTAGTCGGTCAGCATGTAGGCCGAAACAAATAAATGTTCACATAACGCATAGGATGCATCAGGATGGTATGTTATTTTGGGGCACAACTGTCCTAGACAGACCAAACCCTTATGTTGAGTCCCGTAAGTCGAATGCACGTGATGCAAGCAAGCGTTCCTACTAGGGATCTGGTATGAGGCTGTGTTTTTCTAGGTTTAAATCCTGGGGTTGTGTTCTAGACTTGGGGTTTACCCAAGCGGACAACTGGGGCCGAAGAGGGGGCGACATACCGGGAGCACTAAAGTCTACCCGGCCTTGTCGCTGGCCCAACCTCATTTTATTTGGTATAATTTCTACAGAAAAAGCGGGTCACGCGAACGTGTGCACCATTTTCAGAAGACTCAAGAGGGTGGCGTAAGAAGACAGTTATATACAATTCAAACAATATTAAATCGGTAAGCAGATAACATTTAGCACAAAAGGTTCACAGAATACAGTAATATTAACAATAAATGAAGCCAAGTAAAAATCATATTAACAAGCTCGAATTCTTGAACCCTAAACCAGAGATTCTGGGTTCGATCCCCAGCAGAGTTTCCAGAGCTGTCACACCTCTTTTTTCCTACCCCCGTAAAGGGTATAAGGGAGTTTTTTCCTATTTAAGTGACAATCAAAACGGGATTTTATTTAAAAATTAGAGTCGCCACTTGGGATAATTTGTGATGTACCAAGTCACCGGTTCAAATCCCGAATCGAGGAAAGATTGACTCTGTTTTATATTCCGCAAACACAGAAATTCGGGTAAGGAATTCTGTTAACCACGGAGAAGGTGTTAGGCATTCCCTAGTTTCGTAGTTCTAGCACGGTCGCTTTGATCATACCTGGCTTATTAAATTGTCTAACTACTCATTTTAGAACCTATGTGCATTTGCCTTTTTTTAATTAAGAAATTAGATTGAAACGGGTCACGCGTACGTGTACCCATTTGTTTGGTGCGTCAGAAATCATGTCACGCGACATGTCCACAATTAATAACGCATTATTATTATTAAGAAAAGTTTGACCAAAGTTGCACGAACGCATACTCCAGTTTTATTTTTAAAATCGTAACCATGTCACGCGAACGTGTCCACGACCACGATAATATATTAAACGTGCCTAAATCAAACTACGATCATTTGTTATTTGTTATATCTAAATTATGAAATTAATACGAGGGTCATGTATGATTGACTTGTGGATGGCGCACCTCGAACTATATAATCCTAAATTAATTAGCGACCTATTAGACCAATTATTATTAAGCAAAAATTGATTGAAGTTGCGCGAATGCATACTCCGAATTGATTTTTAAAATTGTAATTATGTCACGTGAACGTGTACACAATCACAATTGTATTTTAAACGCACCTAAAGGCTTTTCTACAAGCACTGATTTTTAATTAGCTAAGCTACAATATGTGAGAGGAACACGACTTATGCGCAAGTTGGAAAAAGAGATAAAATATGGATGGAATAAACAAGTTATCATGTGCCCAAAACCCTTTGGCCAAAATACTGAAGCCCAAGACTTAAGAAGCTGCGGCCCATTCAAGTCCAACATCACAAGGTCCAAATCCTTTATTTTAAATTAGCGAAACAACAAATTCCACGGCCCAATCTAACTACCATTAGCCACTACTGATTTCTAGCTAGTAATGCAGAGAAACTTCATATATGTGTTTTACTTTTCACAAAGGATTTCAACTTTACCCAAAAATTCTTAATCCCAGAATGTTGCTCCTGCGATCACCCCTCCCTCTCACTGTATTTCTTCTAGTAACAGACCTTAGGCTTGCTAACCCTTAATAAACAATCATCATCCCTAGGTATGAACTCATAAAAATATGAAACAACACATCAATTGAAGGTTTGCACCAATTTTATAAAAACACTCTGACACTTGAATCCAGATTTCCTTAATTTGAACAAACATCAAACAAGAGCAGTGAACTTATTTTGCCTGAAAACTTTAAATGAGACTAGGCAGGCCTGTTTTAAAGGCTCATCACATTTAAGCTATACCAAGGTTAGGCAGATTCAAGCAGCCAAGCACAAAACTCATCATGATAACACTGCAGCACTACGAGATCCAAGCGAACATTCATCAGCTATGTGTTCGACACTAAAAGAAATCTGTGGCTCTAAGCATGAACAAGGAACCAAGAAGCAATCGCTAAACTTAGTTCATGGATCGATTTTCTCTTCAACATATCAATGTTCCTTCGAGTGTAAAGTTATATGGATAAGTAGCTTAGCAAAGACAGCAATACACCAACAAAACTCCAATTCAATCCCATCTTGAGTAAAACAATTTGCACAGAATCTACAGAGAAGCGGAAAGCTATCAAGTTTTCTCCATCTAACTAAAAGAAATCAGTGTTTTAGAGCTGAGATAATCCAATCTTATTTAAAGGTGAAAACAAATCACTGGGAATAGGAACCAGTAAACAGAGAATGCAAACTGATTGGAAATCTAGTGTCAAGATAGTCTGTACATTTTCAGCATTAAGGCATGAACAAAACTACTCGTAACTCGACTGATTGGCACCTGGTACACAAACAAGCATGAACTTCACAAATACACGAGCCATTTAAACTTATTCGACTGGCAACCAACCAATTCTGAGGCCAGAGGATTATATGGACATGCGTTAGCACACATGTGAAATCATGGAAGAAGCTGAAAATAAGAAGAACAGAGCAGCAAAATGAAACTAAGATAACCACACAAATCTCAGCTATTACTTTAAACTTCGACCCGTTTTATAGTTCATTCGGATATCGATTCACAACGAGAACTAAAGAGAAGAAAAGAAATGAACCTGGAATTAAGAGACTGAATTAATACAACCCTGAAATCGACCCAAAGGAAGCAAATAGCAGCTGAAAATCAACCCTCGAGCAGCAACAGACTCGAACTTCTCAAATGACTTCCACTTTTAAACCAAAATCCATAATCGAAATGAAGAAGATGGACTCTAGAGATTTCAAAAAAATTTAAACAATAATCGACATAGAAATGAAATAGCAGAACATTTAGTGATTTTTTTTTCTTCTATTCTAGTACCAGAAATAAAAGAACAATAAAAAAATGAAGAACAAAAATCTCAAACCCTAATTTTAACTTTCTTCCGAAATCTCTCTCAAATCGTTTCCCCAAATATTCTTCAAAAAAAATCCCCAGAATAAGAAAACGTTCTCACATTTTATAGACCTTCAGGTCTTCTCGAATCTTCTTCCTTTCTCTCCACGAAAACCCCCCAAAATGAAAAATCCTCCCCCAAACTGATTTCTTACCCCGTTTCTGATGAAAGAGGGACAAATGGAGGGAGTATATTAGCTCGAATCCAATCTAACGCTCCCCATTTTTCCTTTTTTCATCTGAAGAGCGAAAAATCTGAACTAAAATCAAAGAGAGCATGTGAGGGAGGGGGAATTTGTCAGAAACAATTACGCTATGGCAAGAGGAAAGAAAATAAAACGCGTGATGCGAGTTTGGGTTTCACTCGCCTGAATTTTGGCGATTTTTGGGAACGAATTCTGTTGTTTGGAGAAGAAGAACAGTGTTTGCGCCGATTTGGGTCTTGGAGATTAGGGTTCTGTGTATCTTTTGTTTATTAGCGTTTGGGAACGGGTCGGGTTTGGGGCAGACGGGCGAGCGAGTGGCTGGGGAGGATTAATGGAAAAATTGGGCCTTAGTATTTGGGCCAAAATCAACAACCCTAATTCTCTTTTCCTATCTTTTCCATTTGTTTTTCTTTTCCCATTTTAATTAATTAAAAAAAACTAAATTAGACTCTTAAATTAAACTAAGCTGTAAAATTAAGTTAATTACCTACTAAGATATTTATGAAAGTTAATTACTCCTAAATTAAAAGAAGAAATTACTAGTTTAATATTAAAAGGCTAAAAATGCAAAAATGAGCCATTTTTTGTGATTTTTTATTTTTATAAAACAACTAATTTACTAATTAACCTAAAAATATAAAAATAAATTCTAAATGCAAATGCATGGTATTTTTGATATTTTATTTTTAATGGAAATTAAATATGCACAAAGATGCAACTAATTAACAAAATTTCTATGAAAAATCCTATAAAATTGCTAAAATTGGAAAAATTATTTTCTTATATTTTATGGGAGTACTTCTTATAGGGCAAAAATTACGTGCTCACACTATATATAATTCGGATGTTTATTTAGTTGATCACTTCCATCTTTTGCTAATAAATAATTCCATAGGTTCATTTTATTCAATCAATTTCATCCCCAAGATTCACCATTCATCTTCTCTCTTATTTTCTTAAAAGTACTATTCATGTCATGAATTAGATTTTTATAATCCAATCTTTCAACCAAATACTTCAAATACTTCTAACTACTCATAATAAACAAGTTTGAAGCATTGAAATTACCTCTAGTAGATCAATCTTGAAAAATTACAACTTTGGTGATTTTTGTGTTCTTGAGGATTTGATGATGAAATCTAGAATTTGGATGTTAGAACTCATGTATATTGAGTAATATCAACCCAAAACATCATTAAAAACTTACCTCGGTTGATTGGACTTGATTTGAGCTCAAAATCGCCCCTTCACCTCAAGAACCCTAACCCGCAATACTCAAAATACTCTCTCCCCCGACTTGGTATTTATAGGCCCAGATTTCAGGGCTTCGGACGCGGCCTTGGACGCTATGGCAACACTTCACTGCCAGTCATTCTTTCTGACGCGGCTCCGGATGCTTTGCATCCGCAGGCTCCTCCGCCCGCCTTTGATAATTTGATCATAACTTCTTGTAGGAATGTCCAAATGACAAACGGTTTGAAGCGTTAAAAACTAGACTCAAAGACCTTTCATTTGATAGGTTGTTCATAACTCAAACCTTTATATATATGTATATATGATTGTCCAAAGTTAGGTCTTGGGCGTACTCATTTGGAACTTTAGTCTATCATGCAATTTCCATCTTGATTTGCCCAAAGGGCTCTCCTTATGAACTATATCACTTCAAATACGCCTCGCACACTTATTATCATATCCAATTAATATCCATCATATTAATAGTCCTCGTCTGCATACAAAATAATATAATTAGCACACATCAACTTTCTTTATAGCGCTTAAGTACTTCAAAATTTTCCGGGGTGCTACAATAATGACATAGAAGACCGAGCGAAAACACAAACCCAAATCCTAAATTTACAATACAGTAAAGGTAAGCAATAACTCATATCCTACGACAGTTTTCACATCAGTTATTATCCAACAATTTCCACGAAGTACCGAATCTCGGACAAATTACAACTCACGAATCCCAGTACCTGAAATCTAACACTTGGCATTTTGTGCCCCTATCACACCTTATGGTCATGCTGACAACTCACTTGCTAACTAGAGCCACTCTCACATATATAACAAGTAAACGAGGGTGTGCATCTATACTCAGCAAAATCAGGAGGACTTCACATTCAATAGGAGTGTTCAACTACGTGTATGCTTGTGCAAGTGCTTTAACATAGTTCCTACCAGCTAATAAGCATAAGGAAAAGAACGGGCATCACGTTAGATGTTTCCTCACAACTTCCACGAGATAAAGATCATACAGGTAAGCGCACCACAACACAATATCAAACAACAAGAATGCCCACAGGCCATCACAAATCATCACAATTAATCCCTGACATAGTCCGCCTTGTCTCGCCAAGTGTGTAAATAATGACATAATAAGTGCCCGCCTTATTTCGCCACACGTGCATCATAATGTTCCCAACTTGTCTCGCCACGTGCACAACCCACATATAAGCATATATATACACACCCCACCTTGTCACGCCGCATGTGCAATATATCAATAGTAGCAATAGCACGGCAGAAACCTCGTGCAACCCCATAACAACAATCGCACGGCAGAAACCTTGTGCACCACCACAACAAGTACAACAGCAACAATGACAATATATACAAGAACACGACAAGTAAATCAACTCAAGAACTTTCGATCACAAGGAGACAGTAAAACTAGCTCACAAGGAATAATCACAATAGAGAATACTAAGCGTAATAAGAACAGCTCAACAAGGGAGAAAATAATATGAAGCAATGATCCCACAATATGTAATTCAACAACAAGGAAGCTAACACGAATCAAATAATTCCAAATGAGGAAATGTCAACTAAATATAGGATATCTAAACGTCTTTTAAGGTTGGGAAATTTACGAAGAATATACAACAATTTCAATTAAGGATGAGCAGGGGGAAGATATTCATAACCTCAATTAAAACCAAACAATTACATGGGAGATAATAATAATTTCCAATAAAGACGAGCAATTATGAAAGATAGCATGACAATATAAGAGGTAAAAATCTTCAGTTAAGCAAAATAAGAGTCAAATAGGCAATAAGAATGAATCATAAGCAAGTAATTCCAATTAGAGCATGTAGAGGTGAAACTAGTAAGTGGAAAACTCAAGAATATCAAGTACACATTCATACACATTGAATATAAGGACCTAAGAACCCTAAAAAGCCAATTTTTTCCAAATAAGTCCGAGCACGCACTTGTCACCTCGCGTACACGAACTACAATCAATATAGCAGACTCAAATCCTAAGGGGAAGTCCCCCACACAAGGTTAGGCAAGATACTTACCACAAAGACGACAAACTGATACACTAAAATGCACTTCTCGGGTGAAAAAACCTCCGGACGGCTCAAATTAACTTCAAAGCACAAATAAAACACATAAGAAACTATTCCGGATCATAAAGTTTCAATCNCAACTCTCGGAATCGCATTCCGATCCCGATATCACAATAGTCAACTATTAGTCAAACTTCTCCACTTTCCAAACTTCAACTTTTCCAACTTTAGCCGAAACGCCTCAAATTACCCTACAGACCTCCAAATACGAATCCGGACGCACATCTAAGTCCAAAATCACCATACGAAGCTGTTGAGATCACCCAAAACCCATTATGGGGCCATTTACTCAAAAGTCCAATTTCGGTCAAATTCTCACCGTTTAAATTTCCAAAACTAGATTCCTTCTTCCAATTTGACTCTGAATCATCCGTTAACTGAATTCAACCATGCACGCAAGTCGATAATCATATTACGAAGCTATTCCAGACCTTACGCAGCCGAACATAGCTTAATTTCTCAAAATGACCGGCGGGGTCGTTACGCTAGTCTTTTTTTCAGTATAGTGATTGGTATCACAATTATTCATTTGTCTTTCTACTTAAGGCGTTAATTCATCTTTTATCTGCTTAAACTTCGATGTTTAGTCCTCCACAGCCATAAAATCGTTTTAAAAAAAATGATTTTATCACTTTGTTTTTTAAGCTTTTTTACACTCTTACACAAACATCTTACATTTTTTGTCCTTAAATAACGACGTAAAGTGAAACCATTCAGTTCAAAATACTGCTTTTAGGATATATCTTACTCATTGAATCTTGCATTTATGTAGCGTAGAGAGTCAATGGATAAAGCTGTGTTAAAAACGCAAGGAATGAAGCAAATGGAAGTGAATAAATGTCTTAATTTTAACTAACTACATTCTGACGAAGAAAGGACAAGGCAGCAATCACATGTAAAAGAATACTATGGTTTCTTCTTCTTTTGCAATTTCAACTTTGGCCAAATGACTTCAGTCTGGTGCAAGAAAAAAAAAAGGACTAAAGTCTGTGAGACCTAATGATCATCATTCAACTATTCAAGTAACATGATTAAAATCTGACTCTCTTCATTTTTCTTTCTTTATGATTATGCTGCTTATTGTGGAAAAACTGTGCGATTTACCAAACCAGCATTCATCATCTTGCTCTTTCTTGAGAGAGTTTCACCCTCAATATCTAAGTCCTCTCTTGCTTCCACTTTGAAAGATCCAGAAAACTTCAGGACTCTTCAGATTTTCTGATATGCACATTCTGCTGAAAGTTTTCTCGTGCAGATATAACTTGTCAACTCCGTCATGTGGTCATTCGTTCCACTTATTCCCGTCCCTGCTCCATGTATTGCCATTGGCAGTTGGCAATGCCGATAGAGTGATGATTATTTGCAATGGCCTCAAAGGTCTCACCAACTGTAAGAGATTAGCATGGTTTCTTTCTCATCATAATTATGCATAAAGGCCAACAAGAGCACAGACATCCCTTTTGTTGATCTTCCTTGAAAATTTTCGAGCTTCTCCAACAAGTAAAACATAGAAAGTGTAGCATATTCAGCCCCATTGTCCACTTACTCTCTTCCACCTTTATGAACATCAGTGCAGCAACTGACAGATATACATAAAACTTTTCATTATCAGCATATCAATGTATTAATTTCATTCTTTGGCGTGGAGAGGGGAGGGAGCTTACCAGAATTCCAGTTTCTTTGTACTAAAGAGTTTTAACAAAAGGTGGAGCATCTCTTCGTGGCCCTGCTACAGAACGATAGACGTACACTTTATCAGCATAGTCATCGCTGTCCTCATCTTTGATTACCTCGACATTCAACCTAGGCATCTCTTTTGCAAGTAGCCGACAACCATTCATGGTGACATTGCAAGCTGACATCCAAAGACACCGCATGGATTCATACTTGTCCAGTCCAGAAAGAAGTGCTGCATTTCCGAATGGACAATCCCTTATCTCCAGCTTCCTCAGCTTAGAACAGCCGTCAAGCACGCACTGCATACCCCAGTCACTGCTTCCAGCAAAAGCCACTGAAAGCGTCTCAAGGTTTTTGGCATACTTCCCGATATACTCAAATGTCTGGTCAGTTAACAGGCCAGAAACGGAAAGCCTCTGGAGCTTCGTACAAGTCTTGACCACTGCACCAAAAGCCTCGTCCATGGGTTCATTTGTCAGGTAATCTGGTTGGCCAGGATTCATTATGCAGAGACGAAAATGG